TTTCTCTCTCTCTCGTCTCTGCGTGTATTTGTCTCTTCTTCTCGTTGATAGACTTTGATAGCCTTATAGCTTCACAAATATTAGCGGGAGGCGTTTTCTGTTGCTTTTTGTTTGTTCTTACATTTACTTTTTCTCTACTACTACAGCTGCTGCTGCTTCCATTGTTTAACTTCTTTTTTTTTTTCTGCTGCTGCTGCCGCTGCTGCCACTGCTGCTGCTGCTGTTGCTGCTGCTGCTGCTGCTGCTGCTGCTGCTGCTGCTGTTGCTGCTGCTGCTGCTGCTGCTGCTGCTGCTACAGGACGGCCGTCGCCTTGTGCTGGAGCTGCAAGATATAGCTCACATAATACATCTGTGGACGGGCATCCCCCTCGGCAAGATGACAGAAGATGAAGTTTCTCGAGTGCTGCGGCTAGCTGATATTCTTTCGCTGGTAACAACAGCAACAAATTATAAATATTTTTATTTTTTTTTTTATTTTTATTTTTATTTTTATTTTTATAGTAATGTTGTTGTTTTTGTTGTTGGAGTTTTTTGTTTTTTTATGTAGTTGTATGAATGGTACTGAGATGATAGTTTATAGAAATAATAAAACGGCAGCCACTGAGCTCCTTTCTTCTCTCTGTGCTGTATTTGTTTTTATTGTATTTGTTTTTATTTATTTGTTTTTATTTATTTGTTTTTATTTATTTGTTTTTATTTATTTGTTTTTATTTATCCGTTTTTTATTGCATTTGTGCTGTTGTGTTGTACGTATTGTTATTGTTGTTACTAACATTATATTATTTTTTATTATATTTTTAATATATTTATTTATTATTATTTTGTTTTTTTCTATGTAGAGAGTAATAGGACAAAACCAAGCAGTGAAAGCAGTAGCAGATGCCCTGGCGATACAGCGCGCTGGGCTCAACCCAAAGAACAAGCCCCTCGGTACCTTCATGTTTCTCGGTTCTTCAGGTATACATAAATACATATATATATATATATATATATATATATA